GGTTCTAGAATATCTCATTTTTGTCTTCCAATCAAATTCCTTCCATAAATTACTGAAAAACTTTTCAAAAGGAACTTACTTGTCTTCATCTTCAATTAAACTTGTCTTATAATGAGTCGCAGCAGAAAAAGAACGACTATCACCACAAGTGCACCTCCCAAACTACTACTACTACTCTGCTGCTGTCAGCAGCCTGATTCTACTGACAATATTCCATGGAAAAATGTCTGGACATGACCTCACAAATATCTCATCACCAACAAGCAAAGAGAAATCTGCTACAAACTTGTTCAAACTTCAAACTTCACTGTTATCCGCTACACAATCATCTTAGAAGAACAATGGACACAAACTGTACATTTTGAACTGAAAAATGAAACCACCTCTCACTTATTTTGGACCTGCTCAGACTTAGTAAATTAAAATTGAGATGAGAAGCCAGCGACTGTCACCCGGTGGTATAAAGACATTTTTAGAGTCGTGCCCATCTAAAGAGTCAAAATTGAAAGGTAATGATGATTTCTTTAAGGAGTTGTGTCCCGGTGATGTCAGTATCAGTGTACAGAGAGGTACATACTCAGTGCCGCGGCTGTGGTTTGCCTGTTGGAGCAGGTTGGTGTGTTTTGGGTAATAAGAAAAACTCAAATATATTCTCAGACTCTTTGTTTTGTGTGTTGTGTTCAAGTGTTGAAAACTTCATAAGATACGACATGGCAGAAAGCTCCAAAAAGTCAATTTTACAGAATACCCCCTCTCAAAAAGTTCTCACCTTTTGGTCGTAAATGACATAAATAAACTCATCGCGCGTTAACAGCTCACCCCTCCGCTGTGTGTCCTGCGCGGTGCCGCTCAGATCCTTTTTTTTCCCACAGTCCTTTGCAGGTCTGTGTGTGTGCGGAGGTGACCTGTGACCCCATCGCCGTGGGAACAGGAGCAGAGGATGAGACGGCGTGACGAGCAGGAAACAGCAGCGGTGATAAGACTAACAGACCCACTGCACCTGTCCATCACACGCAGAGGTGCTCCTGCTCAAAGGCACAACAGCAGGTACTAGTGTTGTGTATTTAGACAATAGAATGTGATTGTCAACATTAAAGATTGTAAAGAGCAGGGGTGGGAAAACTTTTTGACTCGTGGGTCATAAAGGGTTCTAAAATTTGACGGAGAGGCCGGACCAGGAGCAGATGGATGGAGTGGAGGGAAAAAAATAACATGGATATATGTAGAAAACCTGTGCTTGAATTTTTATTGAAAACCTTTACAAAGCATTACAACAAAATATCTGTCAGTATTTACTATTTATTGAAATTACTCTGAAAATTAAATTAATAAAATACAGCGTTTTTTATTACTAACAGTTACTATTTTAAAACACTGAAAGTTCTGTTCTCCTTCTGGATATTCTCATCGTCACTCTCCTCCTGACTGTCTTTATTTCAAAAACAGTAGAAGTAGTAGTAGTTGTAGTCGGAGTACTTCTGTTCAATGTGCTTCCCCAAAACTCAACAACGACCAACGCCAGGACAGAACAGTGCCAACGTGCCAGTCTGCGAGCAGCGTGTTCTGTTTGATCTGGTGCACATTGTTTATGTTGAGAACATACGTGCACGTGCACACCACTCCCGTGCACACTTTAACAGAAATTGCATGTAACACATAAATGCATTTTTTACATAACAGCAGAGAACCTTTCTTTTGACTTCAGTGGACAGTGTTGGTGTCTCTTTTTATCCAGCACATCAAAGTCTGGAGGGAGTTTTGTTGTGGAGAGTCTCAGGATGTGTTCATGTGGTGTCGGAATGATCGGACAAATTACTTTCCCACTAGGAAAATTCACATGAACGCATGTTAGAAAACAACTTGGCAAGTTGGATCTTTCGACACCACCTGAATGCAGCATAATACTCCACACCTCAACAAAGGTCAGTGTATCTAGAGTACACCATCTACTGGTCAAGTTCAGCAGGCTGGATTAAAAGGCTTAAAGAGCCACATACGGCCCCTGGGCCGTAGTTTGCCCACCCCTGGTATAGGGGATTTTCCAAGGCAGGAGAAATATTGTTTGTGCTTTGCAAATGTTGTGAAACCACCACCCCCCACAGCTCCCTAAGTAGAAACACTTCCTCCTTATGCTAGAAATCATGTTTGTTTACTGATAATCTGTTGAAGTGACTTGTCCAGAAGTAATTTAGCAACCAACACGTCAGTCTTTAGACTTTTCATCTGCTTCAGTGCTAACACCATCACTAGAAGGAATTTCCAAAAATCCCCTTAGTTTGGCTTTGCTCCTTTTCCCCTTCTCTTCTTCTTTCAGCGACCTTAAAGACGGTCTTTCTTTTGCGGCGAACTGGTCGTGGATTCTTGTCCACCATCTCAACAAACTTTGCGCCAACTGTGAGGAAGCTACAGTTGAAAAAAGCCACTAAGAATCACTGTGTTGATCAAATAAATGCCTTCTTGCATATGTGGAATGCATGAGAGGTAAAAGTAAACCACGTCAGTTATGCTAAAAACATAGGGAGTTTGACTGACAACCTAAGAGCCAATAGATAACGAGGTAGCCTTGTTATCTATTGGCGTTGCTCAAAGAGATCACACCTCAGTCAGGCTGATAAGACGCTTGAGTTTTTTGAAGTGAAAACATGCCAAATATTGCCAACAATCATGTGGCTTTGTGAATGCTACTTCAGTAAACCAGCGAACTCTGTTAGCGTCATATAAGGTGGCACACAACAGCAGAGGAGCTGGTAGTGCTGCAGCCTTAGACCTGGGTTCTGTCTCGCTGGATGATGCAAGTGCCCCAAACTATAACACAGACATGATCTTTAAAGACAAAGAGGACACAGCAGACTGTCTTGTGATGCACGTGAGGACATGCTGCGTGTGTCCCGGGAGTCACTTTGGAGACGCGACTAAAGCGTTTGCTCTCGTATGCTGGCGCCTTCAGTGGCTCTGTGGAGCAAAATGGTTTCTTCTTTTTATTGGGAGCGTGACAGAAAATAATGAAGAAGCACTGGTCTAAATGAAGATAGATTATAGATTTTGACAAACTTTATGAAATCAAACCTTTAGAATGATAAACTTAGGTTATGTTTATATGATGAGGGTCTGAATAGAAGACGTAAAAGTGGCGTCATGTCTTTTTCACTTTTTATTCCACGTTTAGAAGAGTGTTTACAGGAGGAAATCTGTGTGGAAATGTGTGGAATTCGTTTGTGTGTGTTTGTACTTAAATCAACAAGGGCGACTTTGGACAAACGAAAGTTTTCACACCACGCATTTTCATCAGCTCCTCCTTCCACAAAGTTGTCCCACTATCGACTGGTTCTCCAGGTCTCGTCCATATAGGTGAGTTTCATTGTTGACAAAAGTGCGCGTTGCATGCTGGGAATTATTTTGGTCGGCGGCAATAAACACTAATTCAACATGACGGACAGAGCGAGAAAGCACGTAAAGGGTATTGATCCCGGTTATTTATCCACTCGAACGGCAGAGGACCCAAGACCATTTGACCAGAAATTGGTCATAAGCATCGATGGAGCCAAATCACCCTTTTCAACCCCGACAAAAGGTGGACCAAACCAAATTTCTGGTCAGAATCGCCAACTACCTGGACAAATATTCACTTGGGCGACATCCACAATGACTTGGTGGAAACTCCTGGGCCATTCACAGCAGAAAAGATGAAAACCTCCAAGAGTCTCGATGTATTGTTGAACTTGTTGAAGTCCACGGTTTGTTAGGATCTTCTACGTTTGCTCTGCGGATGTTTGAAAGCCGTTTAATTCACCGTTAGTGGTTCTTTTCACTCAGAATACGAAAAAGACATTTTCCTTCTTCCGTGCTTCTATTTGTGCATCCGATAATGCAGCAGGAATTTACCATTATCGGGGAGAAATACGCGAGGTTACGCACTGTGTTTGACAACACAGTCTCACTCCGAGAGCGTCAATAAGTGACGCTCTCGGATAAGTTGTATTGGCGTCAATACAAAACGAAAGTAGTGCCCATTTGCGTCCAGCAATGACGCGAAGTGTTTTTCATTCATCTTAAGGAGAGTCCCACAGCGGTCAAATGTGACGAGTTGCGCTGTTCTTTTTGAGACAATATTTTCAATATTTGTTCGAAATATTATTCATATTTTCTAGTCCTGGTTTAAGACCTGGTTTAAACCTGGATTTAGTTCTGATTTTAGTCCTGGTTATAGTTCCGGTTTAGAGCCACCCGCGCACGGAAGGCCGCCGAGCGGGACGAAACGCAGCGCGGTGGACGAACGGGAGGCGGGAACACGGGAGCGCACGGGAGCGCACGGGAGTGCACGGGAAGCGGGCGTACGGGAGCGCACGTGAGCGCTCGGGAGGCGGACGCACAGGGATGGCGGATGCGCACGGGAGGCGGACGCACGGGAAGAGGCGCTGCGCTGGAGACGGGTGTACGGGAGGCGGCCGCGCACGGGAGGCGGGCGCACGGGAGGCGGGCGCGCACGGATGCGGTCGCGCACGGGAAGAGGCGCTGCGCTGGAGGCAGACGCACGGGAGGCGGGCGCACGGGAGGCGGGCGCACGGGAAGCGGGCGCGCACGGATGGCGGTCGAGCACTGGAGGCCGGTGCACGGGAAGAGGCGCTGCGCTGGAGGCGGGCGTACGGGAGGCGGCCGCGCACGAGCGCGTATAGCAGTAGGACTCTTATCTCTGCCGCTATTAGACAGCGACCGGAGAATCATTCTAGAATTTGTAGGCCATTGATTCTGACTGACTATAAGAAGTTACCATGGTTACCACTGACACGGAACTCTCAAAACATCGAATAACTTGACGCCCCCCCCCCGGTTATCGTCATTTTCGACACTACACTTCCCATAGTTCATTGGTTTGGTAAGGCGCCAGGTTCATCGATTGTAATTTATTTTACATTTTTTATTAATTAATCTTACCCTTCGCCTTTATTACTCCCTTGTGTAAAATATCCGTACGTGGAATATTACAAATTTTATACTTAAAATATATTCATAATGCCGCGCAAATGACGTCAGCGTCCACGACTCTCCTATCCCAGTTCCCGCCATCTCCCACCAGCATTTGCTGTTTTCCGTTTGTGGAGGTAAGTAGCACATTATTTCAGAATCTTAAGAATGCATTAAAACGCGATATATTATTAATTTATGAAAAGCCATAAAGCCCCAAATGACTCGATGGGTAGTATGATTACAGCAGGTAGAATTTTACAATGTTTCAAATGGAGGACAAACATAAATCTGACAGATTCAGTGGTTTTGGAAAGAATTTCCATACGTATTAATAGGACATTTTTGATTATCTTTAGGCTATTTGTTTGGTCGACAAGAGATATAAATTCTTCCATACTTGTAGACAAATCTTCTTCCATAAAGAATTTATCGACAACTATCAGATTTAGATTCAATTTTTTTGTCATTACACTTGCATAAATACAAGGTCATGTATAAACACAAGGTAAGAAAATGTGTTTTAGCATCTCATCAGAAGTGCAAGGAACAGCAAGTACGATATATACAAAATGTGGAATATATACAGAATAGAATAGAAAGAAAGAATAAGAAAGAAAGACCAAAGCTTAAAGGCGAACAACAGTGATTTCATAGGGCCAGTAATTACAGAGATATGAACCATAAATGAGGTCAACAAACTACAATTTGACAACTAAACAGCAAATACCACCATAGGATTTGAACCAACAGCTTCATTTTAAACTAAAGGATTAGAATTAGGTATGTCATAGAAAATTATCATGGCACATAAACTCCACCCGTTTATAAAGACTTAATTCTTTGAAATTGATGTAATGCAGTGATTACCAATGTATACCATTCTTACCTGTGCAATCTATGTTTTTTTTTCCACCCGGTCCAGCACATCATCAGATCTGTATTTACTAGGTATACATTAGAGCACAACACAAAGGCACTTTTAAGAGCCCATCTGTCTTTCTGTCTGTTCTGCTTTTCTATTGTATTGTGGTTCTTTCTCTGTGTCTTGTTCCTGTCGCTTGCATATCTCTGTCTTTGTCACTGTCTTTGTCAATTTGTTGTCTGTTCTGATCATCATGAGCGATTCGGAGCTGCAGGAGTTACTGCAGAGTGAGGTCAGTGATGATCTTAAGGGGGTTGATGAGTTCCTCTGCAAGCTGCAGAAGGAGGCTACTGCTGTTCAAGAGGCTGCAGTGCCAATGGTGAGGTGGAAGAAAAGGAGAAATGATGGAAGCCTTATCTGTACAAAGCCACGATCAAATAGGAAGCAACCTTCTAAGGGTGAGTGGTGTTCTTGCACAAAAAATGTACATATTTTCGCATCAGTGCTCAGATTTTATCTTGGCATGTGTCTATATATGGTACATGCATTTATATTTCTAATTGTACACCTTGTTTTAATTTTGTTGAAGTGTGATATTTCTTAACTTCTATAATACTTCTCTTATTTTTTGGCAATGATCAGTACAGTGAACAGTGAATGATATTCTCTGTGTTACAGCTGATTGTAGCCGCCTGCCTCAAGCAGATGCTGCTCCGAACCTGACTGAGGTGGTCTTCACTCCTGAGACAATTGGTATGATATTTGTCAGTCATTAGCTTAATGTAACATATTATTGTTTTCTCATGGCATGGTTTTGAACAATACTTAATCCTCCTTATTTATTATCCTTATTTATTTCTACTTTTCTTTGTACCTCTTTCATCAGAGGAGTTTATGCTGGAGCTCCAGCATGCCTTAAGTGATGCTACAGTGGATCAGTTGGAGGAAGAACTACCTCATCAAACTTCTCCTCAAGCATCGTCAGAGTGGAGCAAACGAAAGTGCATGTTTGCTGAGAACTGGAGGACAGAAAGACCACGCCTGGTAAACACCATTATGGCAAATCAACACGTGGTTCCCAAGACTTGCCAGGAATGTTGGAGCAATGCTGCTGTCGTGCGGTGCCGTGACTGCCGTCCACACCCTTTCCTCTGCTCTGAGTGTGACCGCAGAATGCACGATAGATATCCCCTTCACAACAGGGAGGCCACTATTGCTGGCTTTTATCAGCCATTGCCCCCAACCAAAGTCATCTGCAGTGGGGCTCTTTGCCATTATGGTAAGCTTGTAAAAAGTGCTAAACCATATACCTATATACAATTTGCAGCCCATTCTGGATTTGTCCTTGATTTGTCCATAATCTGGGTGCTAATGATTTTTTACATTTTAGATCGTCTTGTGCCTCTGGAGATACCTGCTACAATCTGTGGTTGTGCCAGCTCCCTAAAGCTCAAACCAGGAAAGCGTGTGGCTGTGGTTACAATGAATGGTAGGAATCAGTGTATTGTTGAAAAAAACTTACACTACAGATATTACACATGTTTTTATAACTTAATTTTGTATCCTACAAAATAATGCTACTGAACAGAAAGATTGTTGGGACTTATAGGATAGGATGTAAAACTAATACAAATTATAACACAAGTAGTAACTTGAAAAAATATTTGTATATATAAAAAAACATGTTTTATTTTTTAAGGACGACATGATTTGAGTATTCCAGAGCTCGTGTGTGACAGTTGCTGCACTACATGGTCTGCAGGAATTGATACAATTCTGGCCAGTGACTTCTGGCCAGCAACACTCAACTTTGCCACTCTCTTTGCCACTGATGTGTTTGCAACTTATGAAGACATGAAAATGGCAGCACCTGGCTTGTCTTGTCAGGCATTCTTAAGAATGCTTGATCTTAGAACTGTCCGTTTTGGCTGTGTACGTAATTTATTGTTTATCTCTCTCTCTCGCTCCCTCTCTATCTCTCAATCTCTCTATCTCTCTATACACAGTATGTGTGTGTGTGTCTTTTTTCATTAGATGGGGAAGATCTCTGCTGACACCTTCCTGAGAAGTTTTTTTGAGTGGGAGGCTGTTAAGTATGGGCTGGATAGGTGCTGTAAAGAGGAGCCCTTTACTTGTCCGGCCTGTAGTCCAGATATGCTTGCTGTTTCTGTTGATGGAAACCGTAAGCATTACCGCTTTAAGAGTGCATCAAGGTAATAATAAATAATTGTAAACTGTACATACAGATAAAATATCACAATTCTTCTTATATGAATTCAAAAATGTTTTCAGCTAATTTATTACTGTTCCTATATTCTTTTTAGATCTGAAGAACCAGCAATATTTGATGGAGTTTTCCTTGCAAATGATAATGATGTTGCAAATTTTGTGAACTATGTTCACAGCAAGGCCAAACATGTATTGTTGCTAATTTTAATCTATAATTTAAAAAAATCTTCAAATATCAAAATAATTTGCATTTCTCATTTTTACTAGGTGTCTGGAAGAGGTATTTGTGGTGGCGAGTGGTCGGCAGCCAGAGAAACCTCCCGCAAATCTGCCAGCAAGCTGGATGAAGAGGGACTTGAGCTAGCAGTGTGCCGGCATGGAGTTCTTCTCTGTGCACTTAACATGTACAGGGGGGAAATTTTTGCTTATCCTTTGTACCTCCAACAAAAGGTCACAAACAGCACCTTTTTTTGCATGGATGTTACCTGCAAATATTGGCCATACCTAAAAAAGGTCTCAAAGCATTGTCCAGAGCTCCAGGCACTGCTCAGCATGAAACCTTTTCTTTCCGTGTTCCATGCAAAAGCTCATGACTTCAAATGTGAAGTAAGTGAAGTTACAGAATGAATCCTTGTTAATCCCTCCTGTAACCTTCTTGTTTTCAAACAGGTTAAATGGAGTGGAGCATATCAGGAGGGGGCTGGCTTAACCCTTGGAGAGGAGGTAGAACAAGTTAATGCCTTCCTCTCTCGCATTGCTGTGACAACAAAGCATATGTCAAAAGCAGGTGACATAACACATACTTTAAGAGTGATTCATTAACAGTGTATATAAAACTCCCAATGAGTGACGAGCTTCCTTTCTGTTATAGGGCGTTCTGACATGTTAACCCTTATGGCCATACGGTGGAATGATCACAAGTTTGAAAACTTGGCTGGATCCTTGTCCCGCAGATATCTGAAAGTAATAACTATTATATATAGTGTGTTAATGACATACCATATCAAGAACATATCAATTTTTGATTGATTGCATTTTTACTTACAGACCATAAAGATGTTGGATGAAAAAGAAAAAATGCTGGAATCCACAAAAAATGAACTTTTGCTCACTGAGGTCCAGTTAAAGGACTGGGTAGCTGATGTGAAGGAGTGGGCTGAATGTGAGAACTGTCATACATATAAAATAATACATGTTCTGTCTAAATTGAGATTATGATGTATATTCATGTTACTATGGAATTTTTTTCTCTATAGCAGCAACCACTCCAACAGATGAAGATGCCTTGGAAAGTAAAATTGAGGGACTGGTAGCAAGCATCAAGAGACGCACGCAGCATTTGTACAAAGACACAGACGGCTGCAAAGCTCGAGCCAGGGTCCGACGCAAACTCAGAGAGGAGAAGCGGATGTTATGTACTTTGATTGAAGAGTATAACACCCTGAGCTCAAGCGCAGAGGCTCTGTGCATTGACACAATCCTCAGAGAAGATGTCGCATGGCCATGGCAGGACAACCAAAATGGTACATTGTTCACAATTTAGTCACTTGTTTCCATAGTTTTTTCCCATAATACATTTACTTCAGTTAGCCTGGAGACATAATAATATTCTTTCTATTTAGATACAAATTTAGACACACACATCCATTCATACATATTCACACCCACACACGATTGGATGTGTATAGTAAGCACTTGTTATTAACTATTAATTGATTTATAATTTTACAATTAACCATCATGAAAAAAGTATTTAGCTTTCAATTTGGAGGAAGTGCTGCTTCTACATTTTACTTGATTTTATCACATACTTTATGCATTTTTAATCAGTAATGATGATGATTACCTTTATGCTATTCAGATCATGTTACCATTAGGACAAAGAGACAAGTCTTTGACCAAGTCATGGGAGTGAGAAGACTGCAAGAAGAGAAGAAGATTCTTGTTGCTGAGATGGCTAAGCACTGGAATTATCTCCTAGCTCGTTTTGGTTGGCTGAAAGAGCATTCTGACCGGGTCTCTAAACTTCCCCTCCAGAGTATGTAGTTTTATGAAAAAATATAATGATTAATTATTAGTAACTGTTTTAAATTTCTTTTACTTTTAGATACTCAGGATGTACTCACTGATGAGGCCCTGAATGGCATGCAGGCCCTATTAAAAAAAAAGTTGTGGAACATTCGGCAAAAAATACAGGATGTGAGGCACTGCTACTTGAGCATTTTTACTGGAGCAGAGTGTGACTTCCTACAGATGACTTCTGATTTTCCAGACAGTGACTTGGACAGTGACTTGGACAGTGATTTGGACGACATGTACTAAAATGTAGTTCTATAGACCTTAAATTGTTTAATTCATTTATCGGTCGAGGGTGTCCTCAGTCCACCAAAGTTTGTACTAGTTGACTAATTTTTCTATTTGTATTATAAGGATTTATATGGATCAGATCAGAAAGGAGAAGGCTTAGAGTGAGTTAGTTTTGGATTTAGGAATCAACTGTGAGTTAAAAGAGCCCATATTTACGCTGTTTTCTGGCCTATGTTTTATGTTACATGATTTTATAACTTTAGTATGTGTATGGGGTTTCTACAGTTTTCATGTTTTTGTCCTTATTTTGGTTAATCACCTCATCTGTGGTTTAGGGCTGATACATGTAGTTACTATGATTAACTGAGATTCAGGAGCAGGCCCACGCCTCAGCCGCCCTCTCCTCTCACCAGCGAACCACAACTCATCTCGACTACGCCTCTAATTTCCCAGAAGCCTTTATGTAGCAGCCTTTCAGTTTCAGTTTGTCTGGGCTAACTCGACCCCACCCTCCCATCCCCTATTTTGTCTTTCAGTCATGATACCCCTACGGGGAGGGTCCCGTTCCGACTGGGCCAATTGTAGATTGAGACGATATACAGCAGTCTACCACGGAGTTCATTCATTCTTTTTGCTTACTGACCCTGGTTTGTCTGTTCTTTGTCTGTATGTCAAAATAAATAAATACAATTAGACAGTCGCATCTGGACAAATATAAATATAATACAGATAGCAAACATACATTTTTAAAAAGGTCAAGATACCTGCTGCCCATTTATGCCTGACATCAAGCAGATACTATGCTCTTGCATTCATCCTGAGTGCTCTGTTTAGAAATAAGTGATCCCTGGGTTTAATCTGACCATAGTGAAACAGTTATGCTAAAACATGTTGTATTGCACGTCACTGGCAGTGGTCAACCATTTCAATAGTTCAGAAAAAGGCTAAAAATATGGATACATGGGTGTGTAATGAAATAAAACAGCAAGGAACACAAATATGCCTTGATATCTCACAAGCAAATGACAGCCTTGAGCAGGCAACTTCAGATTGTTGTACCAAGGGATGTTACAGCGGCTTAACTTGCCATCATTCCATCTTGAGTACAGATGAAGACTCAAACATATTTTAAAGCTGATGACTGGTTACGGTAAGATTAATGTAATGGCCAAGCCAAATTCATTACTTTGTCTAGATTTGTCTGTCATCGTCATACTTGACAATGATTGGGAATAGACATACTGTATTACTGGCATTGCATAAGGAAGTGTGCTTATTTTTGGTGAGAAATGTTACGTTAAAATCTGACTGTAGTATTACTAAGTACATTCATGCTGTTGCTGCAAAACATAATTAATAAAAGTGTAATTTCTAAAGCAACATACTTACATTTAGCACAGGTCTGTCAACTTCTCTTTCTTTATCATCATGTCGAGAGGACACCACAAGCCAGACACAGTGTACAGAAGAGGCTATAACATCAGGGTCTCCTGGTGGGTTCTCTGAATGAAGGATCATCAGAGTTTCATCAGTGGATTCATTTTTTTTTGGACCTGTGAAAAGCATTTTTTAAAAATAGCTCTTAGAGTAAAGCAAATACGCAAAACATCTGTGTAAGTTTTACCTTATTCAGAGGATTAGCCTGTTGACAGGACCATAGTAGTTCACTGCCCCTGAGAGGTGAAAATCTGACTCGCAAAATATAACATACAGACTTGCTCTATGCCCACTAATGTTAACACACTAACAATTACTGCCCCTGCCACCTCCATTAAATACTGTTGATCAGTAACGGTCTTCTACAGAACAGCAATAGGTTGTAGTCAAGTTAAGATTTGATAACTTGAAATATAGGTACTATATGAAATGTTCTTGCTTAACTGCAGTGTTGTTGTCTAGGATGGGAGCCTCTTCAATCTTTTGTCTGAGGGGTGTGAGCAGTTATACGCTGGAGTGGAATATCTATAACTTCTCTAAACCTAAACAAGAATTTTGAAAAAATGTCAGACTACAAAGAATAAAACAGGTCTAAAACTGTATATGGTAAGCATGACTGATTTGACTGTATATCCGCAAAAAACAACAACAACAATACAGAGAAAATGTTTTTTTTAATTGTTAAACGAACTGCAACTACTACTAGAATGATGACAACAACCACGACGACTACTACTACTACTACTACTACTATTTTACAATTACAACAAATACTGTGCTGCTGGTTCCCAGGTGTCATCCCACACCTTACCACTGCAAACAGTATAAGACAAAAAAAAAAAAAAAAATCAGCTTTTTTTAAAAAAATTTTTTAACTAAGTTCTAATTAAGTTACAATTATTTGATAGCACATCACTTACCACTCAGGACATGGTGACCATCGGATTTTGACTTCTGCTTTTCCCTAAAAAAATTGCATTATAATAATACTGAATGCATTTTAAACCATGAAGAAAAATAGCATAATCTTGCTTCATAATACACATCATAAACCTGGCCTTATAATGTTACTGGAGATATA